GGAGAATGTCTGTGGACTCGCCACGCTTCAAAGGCAGATGTGACCAGTCATCATCAAATCTCAGTTTGTATTTAATTTGACCATCTGGTGTGTAAACTCTGGTTGGTTAGTTTAATGAAATCTGAAAAGATACAATGAGTCAAATACTTGATTTTGGGGCTGCCCATGCATTTTTCCTTGTCTATTGTCTTTTTTGTATGCTCCCTCTTCCACATTCCCCTCCTCAAAGCCCACACAAAGATCACACCTATCTTTTCGAGGATGGAACCATGACAGGTTCATAGCATTGATCTTCTCTTTAAACTTGAAGGTAGAAAGTACCCCCCCCCCCCACTCATACTTTCCTTTATACAAACGGCGGTACACTGCCTGTAAGCTCAGGAAAACAGGTTCCAAGTATAACTTACTGGAGTCCTTCGGCAATAGTGAGACGGCAACTTGGGCAGATCACGAAGAAACTGTTTAAGTACCTTTGATGCTGTAGTCTCCTCCCTAACCCTTTTTCTCTGAACTGGAACCTCACCCTCTGCTACACCCAATCCACATGTGAGAACAATGTGAACACACTAGTAACAAAGTACAGGACTTAAGAAGAAAACCGTGAACTCTTCGACTCTGGCCCCATTCACTCGCAGATGGTACTTCATGGACCACGATCTTCTGCTTTCTCTCTACTTTTTCTCCACAGGCTCGACACAGTCAACCAACCCTTTAACAAAAGCAACCCTTTCTGATTTTACATTTATTTAAAATCAAACGCCTCCATCAGAGCAAAACTGTATCGCCGTGATCCACAATGGCGAGCTACCTAAACGAGTTAGACGGTTAGAATTCTTCAGTCACCGAAGCCAGTCGGAATATACGGTTAGAATTTCTCTTTAAAACAAGACTTTTGTTTGTCAAAATCGTTCTAGATTTTAATAGGACGTAGCCATTCGTCATGTCGATCTATTTTATGGAAAAAAGAATTTTATTTATAATCAAACGCCTCCTTGAGAGCGTAACGTTATCGCCGTGATCCACAATGGCGGACTACCTAAACGAGTTAGACGGTTAGAATTCTTCAGTCACGGAAGTCAGTCGGAATATACGGTTAGAATTTCTCTTTAAAACAAGACTTTTGTTTGTCAAAATTGTTCTAGATTTTAATAGGACGTAGCCATTCGTTATGTCAATCTATTTTAAGGAAAAAAGCAATTCGAGAAAATTTGGAGTTAGACGGTTAGAATTCTCTGCCGACGATATATATATATATATATATATATATATATATATATATATATATATATATATATATATATATATATATATATATATATATGTGTGTGTGTGTGTGTGTGTGTGTGTGTGTGTGTGTGTGTGTGTGTGTGTGTGTGTGTGTGTGTGTGTGTGTGTGTGTGTGTGTATCGTCGGCCGAGAATTCTAAACGCCTAACTTCGGGATATCCTCGAATTACGTTTCTACTTTAAAATAAATCGACACATTATAAATCGAAATATGCATCAAAAAGAAACTTGAAAATGAAGTCACCCAGTCATTGTGTTAAAGCCCTGTACTACCCATTCATGCAGCATACCAACTTAAGGCTAAACAAATTCTACATCATCTGCCACATTAGTTTTCATCTGTGTTAAGCGACGCGAGATTAGATATGGTCACTCATAATTGACCTTAAAAATCAGGCTTGGCAAAATTGTGCAAAATCAAAGAAATATTAAAGTGTGTTCGCTGGTGTATTGAAGTGCAGCAACATTGGTGGAATGGATATCTATTGAATATCGAATGAAAAGAGGATTATTGTCTCTGCAATAAAAAGCATCTTCTAATGATATTTTCAAACAGATTAGAGAAAACAGATTAGTCACATATACCTTGCAAAACCTGGACTTAACAGTGCATGTGCTCATTAGTATGATTTTCTTTTATAATTTTAAGGAGCTACTGGTTTAGAGTAGAGCACGAAACCTAGTTTTGTGCATGGACTGTGTTAGTTTTTGGACGAATCCTCTGTCAGTGAGGAGCAGAGGCCACGAAACTGCCATGGTTTTGTTTGACCTAGGGTGGAATGAACAAAACCGCCTGCGTATGAATTACCCATTGGCTTGGTTTAGTGAACTACCTCGCGAAGTGCTGGAACGTTATATCTTACCCTTATTTTCATCATGGTGCCATTCAAGTAGACATCTCCATGAATGACAAAGCACTTTCTCACCACAGGGCCATGTCACTAGACAATTCTTGGAAAACCATATCATATCAACGTTGCAGTGGTCACCAGTAAACAACCCCGATATGAATCCTACAGGTATGCGAAGTCCCATAAAACAGCAGCTGAAGAAAATAGACTTTTCTCCCAATTCAGACCCTTTGTTTGCAACTGTCTGTGACATTTGGGATGAAATGAGAGATAATTATGTCCAAATGCCCAAAGGGTTCGTGCCCTATGCAAAACCAAAGGCTTATAAAAGCAAAATAACAATGCGCACATTTATTAATGTTATTAAGTCCAAGATTTGCGTGGTGTTTGAGATTGCTCTGTTTTCTGTTTTGTTTGAAACTATCGTAATAAAAATATTGTTCATTGCAGAGACAAAATTCTCCGTTCAATGGATATGCAATGTATGTCCATTCTATCAATATTGATGTTCCTCAATGCAGGCGCGAATAAAATATTATTATATTTCTTTGATTTTGCACAATTTTGCCATTCCTGATGTTTTAAGGTCAATTTTGAGCGACTATATCTCGAGTGTCTCTCAGTAAGTCTTACAAAGGGTGAAATATTAATCTGTCAGATGATGCAGAATTTATTACGTTTTAAAATTGGTGTGCTGCATGAGTGGGTAGTGCAAAACTTTAACACTATGATTGAGTGATTACATTTTCAAGTTTCTTTAGGACACCACTGTATATATATATATATATATATATATATATATATATATATATATATATATATATATATATATATATATATATATATACATAGTTTCTGACTAGGAACTAAATTATTAACATTCGATATAATTGAACAATGTTGATTCGCTTTTAATTTTCAAGAAGTCCAACTACCATGAGTTGTGCCTTTGAGGATTAAGGAATATTATAGATTATTATATATTCTTGTGTTTGTGGGGCAAGTCTTGGAGTGCCCGAGTACACAAGCGTGCATGTGTGTATGCACATAAGCTGTCGATTATAATTATTTCTTGGGTCTAGATCTAGAACCTAAGCTAACAACTGTAGTTGGAATGAAATATTGAAGCACAAATCGTAAGCTGACTAAGTCCTATGTTACCGACAGAGCTTGCGGCAATAACAAAAAAGCTTTCATAGGAAGTAGAAAGTCAGAGAAACTTATAGCCCAATGGTATGTCGCATGTTTTTTTTTTTAAAACAACGAAAATGGACAAAGGTGAATGCGCAACGGTGGATCATGCGTTATTTTAACTCTTATAGACCGGCATTATTTACCCTGGATTCACCGGAATTAAATCATGGCTGACCAAGGGAAATCACATATGTTATTTTCTTTTGTGTTTTTAGTGTGTTTCCCTGTTAGTAATGTACACATATTATACATCATTGTAAAGGGCATTGAACGTAGAATAAGATTAGTATAAAAATACTGAAATTCAAAGGAAATTGTGTTAGTTTTGAAGAGTTACATAACATTACGACATAAAAAAAAGAGAAAAACGAAAAAAAAAATTCTTCTTTCCGTGACAAAGTCAGATTCACCACTTTCTACTCCTAAATCTGTGTTATTGATAAGTTTTCCCAGTATTTCATTTGCTTTCTCAGCAGTGTGCCTTACCAAGCGTTTTACTGACGACGCAGAAGGCTTATTCTTCGGCTTAGTGAAAATTTCAGAACCGACACACGAACCCCAACGCAAAACAAAGCTCAAAACTCGCACCAAAGCGCTGTAAACAATTGAAGAACCCCGCTATTTCTTTACAAACGGTGGATGTGACCTTTAACTCACGCTAAACCCATCGGAGAAAACTAGTATCGGTTTCATCTTCGTCTTTGAATAAGGAAATAAAAACAATACAGTATGACAATGTGTCGTTCCGGCTGATGGCGGTTGGCGGAAACAACACAGTATGTGTCGTTACGGCCTATAAGAGTTAAGGGTGTGTTAAATCACGGAGAAAAGAAATATTATGTGCGCTCAGATTGGAGGCAGCTACTCTAATACGGGGTGCCCAATTGGGGGATCGGGTAGGGTTAGGTCGGTTTTGCTAGCCAGATTGAGAGCGCATAGCGGCTATAGTGTCGCCTCAAAAACAAACAAACCGACCCCATCAGTAATAGGCACCCTGTATAAGGTCGAGAATCCCGTATGTGGCCGAAAAGAATGAAGCAGTTTTATTTCCCCTGAGAAAATAGTTATCTGGCCGGGCGTGGCACATATGACCGTTTTGTTGACGGCATGTTCTTAACATGAGGGCTTGCTGCTTGCTTGACTACACAGAAAAGCAATCTAGCGACCAGGCTCACATGTTGAAGTCGTTTATTCCAAATAAGCCCAACAGCCACTGGTACGTTGGAAGAGGTCTGAGAATAAACCATCTCTAGATCACCAATGCTGTAACTTGCATTGTACCAGCCAAACTGAAATTAATGATGTTATATACAATCAACCGATAGAGACACGAATTCGGCCATTAGACAAACAGCTATGCAGAAAGGGCCCTAAACAAGCCCCTTTATTTACAATTTTTGGCCAGATTTCTCTCTTTAGATGCTATAAATCTGCAACTGTCTTTTAAAAATGTGGGTGATTTTTAACACTCATCGACACAATTAAGATCAATGACAGGGCGAACTTCCGACCCCGCTTGTCGGGGCAACCCGAGCCTAGAGGGATAGAACTACCCAAAGGAAAGACCAAACAATACTCGATAACAATTTTCTCAGGCTCCGGTCTGTTACTCTCATATAATGGCTTATTGATACAGGTATTACAACAGGTATTTTCTATTGTATTTCAGCAGAAACTATTTCAACATGATGATTGCGACCGGGAATTGCTGCAGTTTTGCCATTCCCTTCATCCTGTGGACTGTGACATCGTTCCTGTGTCACAAATTGGGCAAAGAGTTCTTACTATCAGCGGAAACTACGGTCATCGCGACAGGGACGCCGGCAGTGGTCAAATGTGTGATGGCCCTGACACTGACCTTGACGCAGGTCAGGATTCGTATGGACAACAATAGCAGTTTGTTTTGGAAATGTGCTTTATTGATATCGTACACTGCAATTGACTAAAATAAATAAATGATTAAACAAATAAATGAATTAATGAATAAATGAAAAAATGAACAAAAAAATAAATAAATGGATAAATAAATCGATAAATAAATGAATAGATAAATAAAAGAATAAATACATTTTTTAAAAATTCGGTCATTTAAGATCTGAGCTGCTTCGCCTCTGACTGCAAAGACTAAACTGTACCATAGGAACTATAACCAAGCTGAAAGGATTATGGTGCTCGATAAAAATATTTTCCAAACAGGGCTCGGACTGTCGCCCTTCTCTTACAAAGAGCTTAGCCCTTCACCTCAGATACCGGGTTTATGTTGATTCTTTTAAAAAAAGGTAGTATAGTGTGGTGATTTAGGTTGTGGCCTGGTTGGTGTGATATATGTGTCAGCTGGTTTAAAAAACCCTCTCATCAATTTTTAGATCCTTTTGGAGTATTTGTCGGGCATAGAGAAAAAAAGAAAGGTTGTTGAAGGTTCCCAGGGGCTTTTACGAGCTCTTGCATTGTTGACTTGTTGTTGTTTACCTCTCTTCTATATTATTGTTTTTTCTGTTGTTGTTATAATTGTTGTCGTTTGTGTTGTCGTCGTCGTTGTTATTATATTCTCACTGCTTTTAATGATTCTGTTGCCGTGTCTTAATCATTATTGTCTCTACTCTGATCGCTAATAGTTTCTGTAAGGCTATCAGGATTTCATATTAAACGGCTAGCAGCCATGTTGATTTGGTCTTTCCAGCACACAACTGCTGTCCCCATCCCATATAAACAAATGGATAAAAATAAACAAATGAATAATTTTTTTAAAAAGCAAGAAGATATTTATCGCCCGACATTTTTGTCCACCTTCTACACTACGCTTTGAGAGAGAATGAGGTGGGTTTTCTGAATACCATTCATATACGACGTATCATTACGCTAAACTTTGAATGAATTGTATTAAAGTTTTTTTTCCCAACAACGTTCCCTACAGTGCCTGGTGTGTCTGATGACAGTGACACCTTTCAACCATCAGTCCCGAGTCACCACAGCAATCATCATTTCGTCGCACATACTAGCAACATTCGCCACCAACCTCAGTATGGCGTTCATCCAGGTTAGTACATGCAGTGCTGTCAGGATATTCCTGTCGTCTTGTCCTGAAACAGAATTTAATGTAAGTTGGACGGTTTACTTGAAAACTGTGAGTGAGTAGTTGAATTGTCACTGATCACACCTGAGGCAGCGCGGCTGGCCATTAAAGCGGGAGCTGCTGTCCAGGCCATCAAACGTATAGTTTGTAGCATGACAGAGACATGTCTTTTATACATTACCACGAGATCAGCTTGGACTTCTCTTTTATATCTCATTAACTCAAGTTTGACGTAATACCAAGGAGATTAAAAGTAATGGAGGATGCTCTGTGGGCGGCGCCGCAAAAAAATGTACCGCGTGGTGTGTGTGTAGTGTACTGTCGAGATGTGTTGGAGTCAGCTGAGGGCTACACTCTACACACCATTGTTTCATCTAGGCTAGATCTAGCTAGACGGTGCTGTTTATTTTAATTTTTTGTTGTTGTCTACGCGCTACCAGTTTTACTATTGCACTAATATCCGTGTGGAATAACAAGGAAACTGGGCGCTTTTTCGGTAGTTCCCACCCCGCTTAATTGGACCTATCTAGATCTAGATCTAGAAATATATATCTAGATCTAAATCCAGATCCAGATCAGAGAGGGTGATCCAGATCTAGATTTAGATCAGAAAGCTATGTTTGATGCGCAGCGAGCGAGAGATATCAAGGTAAAGTGCCCCCCCCCCCCCCCCCCAACCTTGAAACCCCCTCCACATTCTTATTAGATTTCTAGCTGCCCCCCCCCCCCCCTTTATTTATATATATATATATATATATAGCCGAATAGTAATTGGGGGGGGGGGGGGGCTACCAAAAAAGTAAACTACTACAGTTCATCGCACTTTATCGAACGTTCCCAGCATTGTGGAAATAGAATATTTGTGTGTGTGTGTGTGTGTGTGTGTGTGTGTGTGTGTGTGTGTGTGTGTGTGTGTGTGTGTGTGTGTGTGTGTGTGTGTGTGTGTGTGTGTGTGTGTGTGTGTAGGTACTGAGGGCTGCACTCCATTGTTTCATCTAGAGTATTCTAGAACAGTAGATCTAGACAGTGCTGTTTATTTAATTAATTTTTTTGGGTCTAATCTACACGCTACCAGTTTTACTATCGCAAATGTCTTCTAGTTTTACTACAATGACTACAATGTCCGTGTTGGAGTCAGCTGAAGGCTACACACCATTGTTTCATATAGACAGTGCTGTTTATTTATTTGTTTTTGTCTACACGCTACCAGTACCAGTTTTACTATTGCACAGGTCTTCTACTAGAACTAGAAGTTCTAGCCTAGTTCTAGTACAATGTCCGTGTGGAATAACAAGGAAACTGGGTGTCTTTTCGATAGTTCCCACCCCGCTTATTTGGACCTAGAGATCTAGATCTAGATTTAGATCAGAAGTTATGTTTGATGCGCGGCGAGCGAGAGATATCAAACCTAACGGCAAAACATCAAATAATGGTAAAGTGCCCCCCCCCCCCTTTGAACCCCCTCCACATTCTTATTAGATTTCTAGCTGTCCCCCTGAAACACTCTTGGGACCAAAACCGGCGAATAGTAATTGGAAAGGGGGGGGGGGGGGGGGGCTACTGAAAAAGTAAAAAGTAAACTATTCTGCAGTTCATCGAACGAACATTATCGAACGTTGCCAGTATTGTGGAAATAGAATATTTGTGTGTGTTGGTACTTCTTTCTAATAGCCATTCTTTAGCCCAGATGGTCCTGTTTCTAGATTTGTTTTTGGATTTGAGAACAAAAAATGCTGCCAAATTATCCATGTAGCTTGCTTCAGCTATTGTTGACGTTTTTGACCTAGATCTAGCTACAACAGTCCAATGACGGATAAAAAACTGTACGTCTAAACGGAACTTCTCTCGTCGACAAACTTTCAGTTTACCGATGACACAGATCGAGCGTCAGTCGGTTAAACTGTCAGTTTGTCGATCAGCGAACTGTACGTCTAAAGGGGCCTTTAAGGCACTGAAATCTAGATAAGAAAGAAGGTTTTATTCCGAGGTCCTTCAGATTAGGCAAGTCAATTAGTAAAAATGCCTTGCACCTGTGTTGTATTTAAGTGTAAGAACCGATATGATGCTGTAGATGACCGAAGTTTTCACAGTTGTTTCCCTTTTTAAAAAATTGAATGAAAGTGTTTCTATGCCCCCAGCAACACAATTTAACCAAGGCCAACCCAGGCTGAAAGAGATACAACACCCCAGCAGAAAGACTGAGATACTCAATTTTTTAAAAGTATTCTTATTCATAAATATATATAATTATTTTGAGTATATATAATTATTATGTGTGTGTGTGTGTATGTATATACACTTTATACATTTTAATTAAAGATATTGCTTTCCGTTGTGTGTGCAAATTAGATGCTACTGTAGTCTAAATGTAGATATCTAGAGGCTCCATTAGAACATGAAATCAATACTCAACAACAATAATGATGAATATTTTCTATGTTAAAGAAACACCAAACCATATCAGATGAGGGGAGAGGGTAGGGTGGGGTGGATAAGAGTTTGAGTCTTGTTGGATAGAACTATACTCGGTTTAATTCTATTGTTGTAGTCTTCACCTAGGGTCCCACAATCAATAATTCCGGTTCACTTAAGATTCTGCTGTTAAAAAATAAACCAAACAAAGCAACAACAAATTTTACTACACAAGAGTCATCACTAAGATAAATTATCCCCCTCTGGAGTGTAATAAGGGACTAAAAACGCTGCTCTCCATATCATACTTTACTGAACAAAAAAAAAAACAAAAAAACCCTTCAAAGGTTATCCACGCTCATGCATGCGATCACACCTCCAAGGGTGCTGTTATCTCTTTTATTTATATTTGAAATCATTGTGCGCTCCATTTTGTGAAAACCAGGAAACAAAATTATTGTGATCAATAATATTATTTATAGACCAAGACATACTGTTAGCAATAAGATAAAGCAAACATCGACCCTCTTTTGTGTCCATTATTCCTTACACATAAAGTTAGTTATGGCGCACGCCTAGAATCATGCAATCATATCTTAAATTCAGTTTAAAGGTATATTTTTTAAATCCATTTCTTATAATTAAATATTTTAGCAGATTATCTTTATAATTTGGTATGTTTGATAATTTTATGTTACTCGGACAAGTTTTCTTATTATTTTACACATCTTTTTGATTTTTAAAATAGATTATAACATAAAACTCTTAAAGAATTGAACAGTCCGTATCACACACATAATTTTTTTTTCTCCCTGTCATTATCTGTCAGCGCGTCAGTTGATCACAATCTCTCTCTCTCTCTCTCTCTCTCTCTCTCTCTGTCTGTCTGTCTGTCTGTCTGTCTGTCTGTCTGTCTGTCTGTCTGTCTGTCTGTCTGTCTGTCTGTCTGTCTGTCTGTCTGTCTGTCTGTCTGTCTCACTCACTCACTCTCTCTCTCTCTCTTTCTCTCTCTCTCTCTCTCCCTCCCTCTCTCTCTCTCTCTCTCTCTCTCTCTCTCTCTCTCTCTCTCTCTTTTATTTAATTTTTCCCATTCTCCTTCGTCCCTTCCCAAGGCCCGCCCCTCCTCTTTCATCCCAGCCCCATCCCCTCTTCCTTGCGTGCATTCCCCCACCCCGCCCACCCCCACAGCGTGGCCCAGCCCGATAAGATTCTGTAAAAAGAAACGCCACAGTTCGTGATTTAGCCCACAGTCGGTCGCCATATTTGATCCCCACCGCGGCGTACTGCTCGTGGCGCCGCGAAGAGAGAGAGAGAGGAGGCTCCATTAGTTCTAAGCTCCTTGCGTAATACACACAACCACACAGGAAAACAATTTGGTTTTACTTTTATTTTAAGGGTAATCGCCACACACCTCCCCTTAGCACAGAAGTCTCATGGGATCATTGGTAGCGTACGGGTGGACGCACTTGACGTCCGGCACGTGACGTGAGCTGTCTGTGGCACAGAATTCTACACTAAGTGTAAAATTCTGTGGTCTGTGGTGAACCACCTCTGTTGGTTACTCTCGCCCATCGGTGTTCCTAACGGTAGGCTTTGGCGAAATGGAGTTGTACAGGTTATCAGCTTCTTTCGCCAATGCGCGGTAATCTGTTCTGTGGCGGGGGTTCGCCAGAGGAGCTCTAATAGGTTCTGGCAGCAGCTGTAAAAAATATCTCGAAAAAGAAAACACGGTTTGTGTCTTCCCAACAAAGCTAACATTTTTTCAATCATCTTATAGGGCTTGTTATCGCTTTTGTTCTTTTATGCTCAATAAGGCTGCTTCTTTTTTTTCCTCTGATAAATTATGGGCTTCTATAAGGAAAGACTTGAGTGTGTCGTACTTTTGACTAAGGAGGTGAGGAAACTATGAATAGGAATTTGCTGTTGTTGCTGTATCAAGCGCCGCTACGATGTAGTAGTATTAACTTTTGTCTCGTCAGTTGTGATCCCACGAAGAGCGAATTGGGCCTCTGTTTGTGCGAACCACGTGGAAGGACAATAGGTCCAGAAAGTAGGACGTTTGAGTGCTACAGTTTCGATTGACATGATTTTGACAAACGGATCGCCGTTACTAGATTTTAGGTTATGCTAAATTAAATCTAGATCTCTAGACAAGGTTACCTTAGATCACGTCGGGGTCACCAATGTAGCATAACAGAAACATATCTTTTATACATTAGAACGAAACCAGCCTGAACATTTTCTCTTCTTTATCTCATGAACTCAAGTGCGACGTAATACACATGACAACAACACTGAACAACAATTTGGGTTTGAAGGTAGTCGCCACAAGTTATCCTTTGGGGGCAAGATTCCGACTGCAAACAACACCAGGAAAAGGTTCAGAGGACCGTACATAATCTCCTTCTGTTTAATTTGATTTTTTTTAAAAGGAAAAGAAGAAAGTTTGCTAATAGCTGGCAGTTGAAAAGCATATTTCCTATCATTATGTGTTATTCATAACAAAATATCAGTTAATATTATTTACATTAAAAGATATCGTAATATCAACT